CAGTTGCACTTTTAGTTAGAGCTATTATGTCTCCTGCTGAGATTCTTCACACTGGCTATTTCGCTACATTTTTTTCTTTTTATGGGGATGATTCAGGGATCATCAAAACGCTGTTGAGAGCTTGTTCCTACCACACCGTTGTTTTTTTTTTTTTAGAAAAAATGGTAGATGATGATTTCTTTACTGCATAATCAGAGCTGAAATACCCCATTCTCTGGTGCTCTCTGTAAGCACATGTGCCCCACAATCGCTTGTCTCGTCATTTTATTGCTGTGTTGTTCCTGTGTCCTGTTTTATTAATTGTTACCGCTTTGTTCCTTTGTGCAGTCATGCAGAGGAAAGTCATACCAGTCAGTTTTTTTCGTTTTTTCCTACTATGTTTGCAGGAACACGGTTGTGTTGAGATCTAGAAATTTTGCTACCATGGCAACGTGACACAACGGCTTATCATCTCTGTCGACGTTCAGTTGATTTTAATAATCATTGTTTGGCGATTTTAGATACAAATGCACTCGCAGCTGGTTAATTTGTCAAATATTCTTACAAACATAAAATGTTTACCATGATCTTGGGTAATAGCTAAAGTGCTTGCCCAGAACATTAATCTAACTTCAAAGAAACACTCAGTACTCTTTGGAAATCTTAACAAAAAGTCTACTTGGGGGTTAGGGGTGGGAGGAGGGGACATGAAATTTCCTGAACTCTCCTCATGAAAATACGAAACACAATTCAGTAAACATGAAAAATTGATCGACGGGCCACCTGTATCTTCCACTCAATTGGCCTCACGATGTTTTTTGTTTGTTTTTGTTTGAATGAATTGTCTGAATTTTCGTAAGCTTTTTAAATTAGTAGGAAACAGTGTTTTTAAGGATCTGACCGATCGATAGCAAAATATCCGACAGATAGAACAATTTGAGTTACAGAAAGAGAAACCTCTAAAGATTCTGATCTATTATTTCATACATAATTTTTCTTTATAGCAAAAGTTAATATCTGTCTTTTACTATAATAGCGTGCCAGTAACCCGGTTTTTAATTAGCTATATCTTATAAAATAAGACCTCCCTTCTTTTCAGCTGTCTGTTAGTTTTGCCAAAATTTTTAATTGAACTGAAGTCTATTGACTTTCAATACTCGTTCGCTGCATGAGTTTACATGGCATTATACTCGCTGTTGGTAAAAATTTACTCACAAACAGAAAACGGTTACCACGATCTCCTTGAGTAATAGCTATGGGGAACATTGGATTAATGAGTTTTTAATAATATCTTGTCAAAACGAAGACTCTGAGGATGGGGGCTAAATGTCGAAAGCTCGCCTCTATTATTTCTTTCCCAAATTCAACAAATATGAAAAATTGAATGAGATAAAAAAAAAAAGATATATTTGCTCTAGTTAATTCTAGTTAATACATTTCAAACTAACCAAAATAAAATTCGTTGGTGTTCGCTTGAAGCACAGAAGGTAAGATTGATATCTCTTCGTCTCTCGTTTAACGAGAAAAAAGTCGACGGGAGTAAAAACGACACAGTGCACATGTTTTATAAACATAAACACTATGCTTCTGCATATGTGCATAAAGTTTTTCCTTCTTCTCTGTCTTTCCCTTCAAATCAGCAAAGCCAGTCGATGGATGAAATAAAATTGAACGCTTGTTCTGAGATCAATAACAAGCAAAATTATTTGCCTTCTTATTTTTTTTTTGAATTTGGTATTAGAAATAACATGAGCGAAGAATAATCTCTCACGAAAAATAGTAAACAAATTTAAAGGTAAAAGTGAAAGGACTTATTCGGATTATTTGGTTCATTTGTTATAACGTTTCTAAGAGGTTTCTTCAGTTTAGACTTTTCTCCAGCTGGAGCGATCCCGCTCACTTAAACATAGAACACCCACGCATCGTCTTTCTAAAAAGTGTTTTCGGATAGTCAAATTTTTAAATTTGACTTAAAAGAAAAGGGAAGAAGTCCATTCGATTACAAAAAACGACCGCACAGTCAACTTAAGTATCATGAGAAAATAATTAAGCGGATTCTTTTCCGAAAAAAAAAAAAAAAAAAAGATTTTTAAAAGGGCGGGAATTAATTTTATGCAGTTATTTTTTGGAAATATGTAAATAAAATGTCGTTTTGTTGTTTAATTTTTTTTTTTTTTAAAAACATATTTTATAACTATCGAAAAATAAAAATATTTTATATTAATAAAAAATATAAAAAAGTTTAAACTGCCTCATTTTTCCAAAAAAAAAAAAAAAAAAAAGATTTTTAATAGGGCCGGAATTAATATCATGCAGGTACGTTTTGGAAGTATGTAAATCAGCTGTCGAATTGGAGGTAAAATCTTGTTTCTCTTAATAAGATATTTTCAAACTAGCGAAGAATGACCATTGTTTTTCTTTCTGAGGCGTTATAACCAGTCTAAGCGGCCTCATATTCGTTGATAAAAGAAAAATAACAGGTAAATAAAATTATATGCTTGTTACTACTGGTATCACATTCATAGTTGCATTTCTGCATGTATAATACGGAGTGAATTGTTTATTTAGAACCCCGAGGCCTTGATGTATTGACCTCGCCATCGCTCGGTTAATACATCTTCTTTAGTCTTTCAGATTAAAAAAAAAGTCTTTTAAACTTTTGTGGATAAAATTTCTATCATGAGCCACCAGAATCTTCTAAACTACGTGGTGTGTAAATTCACTGCTCGTTACACCTGCGGGAATACTGAAATGGATCTGACATCGAAAACGATTCAGCTTGGAAGGGATCAATTCTTAATCATTGATAGAATGGGCGTGTTTAACTTTAACTGATACGAAAAACAGGCAAAATTGACATTTCAAGCAATTGCGTTCTCTGTCTTCATTTATAAAATAAATAACACTATAAGATTTTAAAAACTATTTCATTGTTGTTGTAGTTGTTTTATTCATTGCCCCTTTTTCTATTTATCGTCTTTGGAAACTCCCTATTCGTAATTTTTTGAAAATGTACTAATTTAATCTATTTATAGAGCCTTGTATCCTCGCACCTCGCAGAGATAGCTGTATTGGCAGGATAATCATACATGAAATTAAGATGATCTTAAAAGATCCAGCAGTATTTGCAGTAAAGGCGAGCTGACTGCGAAATTAAAACTATGATGAATTTTAAACATCTCTGTTTTTTGTCTTTGCGCTATTTGCTGTCACAATAACGCCATCAGTTTCTGCATTTTTTTTAGTACCAGTTTGTTTACTATGTGGGACGTTGAGGTGCCCTTTGTTAATTGATGTCAGGGTTAAGAACTATATTTTTTTGGACTGAAAGTTATTAAACAATGTATCTTTATTCTTGCTGTTCAAAGGTAAAACTATATACCGACGTTCATAGTTGACTTCAGCAACTTATTAATCGAAACATATTTTAGAATTTTGAAGCTGTCCATACTTTCGACCTGTGTTTGAATTTCCTTTGCTTGGACAGACACCTCAGTGACGAACTTTAATTAAATCATTAAATTTTGACTATATAGTAAATGAGGGCTAAACTTAAGTAAACGTAAATTTACATTGCACCATCCTCTTTCCTATGCTACTTCTACGCTGGCTGGTAACTTAATTTACAATGCGTGTTTGTAGTAGCCGTTGGGTAATTAACATTTCGCAATTTTTAGAGGTTAGCTTTTTAATATGCGACGATTATGAAAGCCTTTTATCAGAATGCCCTGTTCAACGTCGCAGTGTTGCGGTAGAGAAAAGCTGCACTTCTTTTCAACAGCAAAGTATATATATTCACCATTCAACAAGAGACATTTAACTCTGTGAATTCCCATGTCCTCAACCGGCCAAGGCGGTTTGTTCGCCAAAACGGCAACGAGCTTTTTAATGTTTTCCTATCCTCTACATTGGCAGGACAAGTCAATCACTGAAAGGACACGCGTCAATCGAGCTCAAAGTATTAATTAACTTGCTATATTACAAAATTATAAAATATGTTTATCAGTGAAACCTACAAAATTTACCCAAGAACTTCCTTAACGCAGACACATCCTGTTCACGAAAACAATGCTGTAATATTGCAGAGATAAGTAACATGATTTCCTCACTCATTCTCTGCTTCGTCGTTGGCGCAGTTTTAGCAGCCGAAGAAGACTCTAGATCTGCCTACATCAAAACGCAAGAGAACAAGCGTTTACATGGCTATGTTGTCAAGAAAATCGATTCTACGGATGTAATGTCGTGCAGTCAAGCATGTTTAAGACATTCTTGGTGTACCTCTTCTAATTTCAAAGAGTCCTTGGGCAACTGTGAACTGAACAAGCATGAGTTTTCTACAACTGACGATGACACCAAGCTCACTGATAATCCAGGCACAACGTTTTCAATGTTTCTTAAGGTAAGAAAAGTTTTGAATTTCCATTGCTTAGACAACAAGGGCGTGCGTGTGCAGACCAGCCTAATTTCCTCGTCCAAGAAGAAATAGACTCCTGCACCCAGGATAAGGCAACAGCTGTTAAAGCGAAGCTAAGTAAAAAAAAAAGAAATTTCGTAAAACAGTAAAGTTGAGTTGTTGTAAAAAAAAAGTGCACGCATTTCAGTCATGTTTCGTATGGGAGCGAGCCATGTTTTCCCTTTCCCAAATTTTTCAGTTCCGCAAAATCACTATCAAAGCAATGTTTTCTTCCCTATGGCGTACATGTTTTGAAAATAAAGTTAAGAGAAGTATAGAGTGCAAACAACCGTAAATGTTAAAAAAAAAGAGGAATGCAGAGCCAGCAATTTATAAGTGGAATTTTTATGTACAACATTAGATTTGCTTTGTGCCGTTAAAAATGTTGAGGGATAAGTCTAGCTACCTGCAAGAATCTGTAACTAGTACGTCGCCCTCCCCTGCCCGAGAAAGACTTGCTAAAACATTGCCTTTCTTGTATAAAAAGCTGTAGGAAGTCGATGGAAAACGATATATATAATTTTAGCTTACCAAAGTAACATATGAACATTTTCCTCAGGGCTGCCTAATGGCTGGATGCCTTAAGGGAGGTTCTTGTTTGTTCGACGAAGGGAAAGATGCGTTTGCTTGTTCATGCAGTCCGCAATGGAGAGGGGAAAAATGCGAAATGGGTAGGTCGAAAATGTTCTTGTTCCTTAAATACGATAGACAGTCTAGGAGAAGAGTGAAAGACGTACCCGGCTGAAAACGAGATCACACAACTTTCTATACTTTATACGCGACAAATTTCTTTTAGAAGAAAGGAAAGACTTATAATCTGCTGGCTGGTTTTCTCTAGCAATGTAGTTGATATAGCCATCAGGAATTAATTTACATCTCGTCTAATATAAAAAAAGAATTTAACATAAGAGACTTTGGCGTTTACCGTTAGCCTCGCGGAATGTGGAAAAGACATTGCATTGTATCTGGCCAAATTTTATGTGACGCCCAAATTAAGGTAAGTGATACCTAACACTTGGATCAACCAACAACTACTGAACACATAACGGACCTTTTTATACAGAGAATTTGCATCCATCAATTAGATAATTATTTTTGCTTAAGGCTTTTCGGCGACACACTGGTCGATCGTCCGACGAGGAAACAGCTAGATTCTAAATAGAAGGACAAATTGTTCTAAAATAGTTAGTCGTAAAGGTAACAAAGTGGCAATGCGCAAACTTGGCACAATAATTGATAGCCATGTAAAGGACATTGAAAAATATGCAATAAAAAGGTGGGGTCACCTTGCTTGTCTTTGTTTTACTCGGCCGTTATTCTTGAAAACCAGCAAAAAATTTTATCATTTAGCAAAACTATATGAAACCTACAGAAACCTTGATCCTGTTTGCTTCTCAGGGACTTTGTATAATCTCTGGGCTCCAAATGCAGAGTTTCACTCATTTACTGTAATATACAAATAAGGCAACTTCTACTATCTTCTATCTCCCTTTAAAATATTTTCTTTGAGTACCCACGAGTTTAATCATCATAAGAAATAGGCCCTCTAAGGGGGGTTACGTCTGTCCAGAGTCTGAATTTCAAAACCTGTCGTTTCCCGTATTGATCAGGAGGAAGCCATGTCGCTGTCGGTATTTTACTATTGTATTTGCGCTTTTCTCTGTCGCTGTCGCAGTTTCAACCCATCTTTGGGTCGTTTGTCAGCATTTCTGCTGTCCTCTGTCGCTGTTTCAAGGCCATGTTTTGCTTGTCGAAATTTAGCCTAACAGGGTCTCAAGAAAGTGGTCAAAACAAGTGTAATCAACGGCGACCCACTGAAGGGTAGAGCTATACACAACACTACTGTTGTATAGGAAAGATGGGTTTAAAGTCTAAAAATGAAAAAAGGGGGTGTGAAAAAAAGACGATACCATTAATGTTTTGTATGCGCCTAATAAGCCTGCATTGCCAGAAAAATTATGGACTTGTCTGAAATGTCACACATCTCCACCCTAATCCGTGGGGGGCGCGTCTCTATCCCCTGCGCCCATCACGGGTTAGGGGTGGAGACGTATGACATTTCAGAATACGTATGGATGTTTACGTTCATGATCCAGGGATTAATAAAGGAACGAGTATACAGAAGAAACACATGTCCCTTTTGTAAGTTCGTAGTTTACCCATGAAGTGGTGTGTCGTCTGGCTTAGCCACTTCCCTTATTGTGGCAAGCAATCAAAGAAAACGGTAATCATCAAAATGATTTTCTACGAAATATTTGAACAGACGACTGAAGGAATCATTCACTAAAAATTATATTCTTCTAAATAAATCAATGCTTTCTTTTTACTATTTTGCAGACATCAACGAGTGTGAGACTGGAAAGCATCACTGCGACTCCAATGCCTTCTGCAACAACACTAAAGGTTCTTATATTTGTACATGCAAACCAAGATATACCGGAAACGGCGTTAACTGCACAGGTAAAATAAGAAAGCGAAAACCCTCAGCTGATAGCACTGAATAACCTGATATGAAAGCATTTCTATTCAACAAATGTTTTCGAGTTCCATTAACTAAGGTGTATGTTCATCTTTAACTTAGTTCCAACATGATAGTATGTGATAGGCGGCTTGTTCATCGTTGGCATACTAACAGGCTCACTTAAGCGAGTTTGGGGGTTATATATTAAGGCGACGATTCAGCCGTCAGCGGGAGCTGGCGAATTTGGCGATAAGAAAAAGGCGATTAAACGTTGAAAAAAATATTTGCATATTCGGCAACTATCAATAGCTGGATTCGAGGTTTTTGTCACGGCTTATTTCCTTTTTTTTTTCCATGACTATATTTTGCTATCTTCCGCAAAAATCTCCTCGTGCGACTTTCTATCATTTTTGTCAATTGACATTTTGTTTTGTCCCTGTTGGATAAGATTTTGACACCTCTTAAGGGGTGAAATTAAAACAAAAAAAGACTGATTTATCGTTCATCTGGGGATAGTCGTTACTTAGGTATTCATTAACGACGTTTTAAACTGCGTACTTCTAGTCTTCATATGTTAATAGGCGATTGTGTCGACTGTGGGTGGGCTAACAAAACTAAAGGAAGAAACATTTGAACAGACGACTGAAGGAATCATTGAGCAAAAATATATTCTTCTGAATAAATCAATGCATTCTTTTCACTATTTTGCAGACATCAACGAGTGTGAGACAGGAAAGCATCACTGCGACTCCAATGCTTTCTGTAACAACACTAAAGGCTTCTACATTTGTACATGCCAACCAGGATATACCGGAAACGGCGTTAACTGCTCAGGTAAAATAAAGAAGCGAAAACCCTCAGCTGATAGCTCTGAATGACCTGATGTAAAAGCATTTCTATTCAACAATTGTTTTCGAGTACCATTAACTAAGGTATATGTTACATCTTTAAGGGTTCTTTAAAATAGTTCCAACATGATAGAAAATTTGATAGGCAGCTTGTTTATCGTTGGCATACGCGGCGATGTAGCCGTCAGCGCGAGCTGGCGAATTTGGCGACAATTTGGAGAAAAAGGCGATAGGCCATTTGCACCGGCAGCACTAAAACACGGAATCCGGAATCCGGAAACGGAAACGGAATCACGGAAACGGAAACGGAAACGGAAACGGATACGGAATCTGTGAAAGAAGGTTCCAAGCGATCGATTTGAAAAAAAATATATTAGCAATGACAATAAAATAAATAAACAGATAAAAAAAAAGACACAAATGAATAAATTAGCTGAGTAGAGGAGAGGAGACTGCTGTATCACTAGAGGAGTCGATTCCGGTGAAAAGACGCTTGATACCACTATCGGCAATGAATAAAAATTCTCATGGGACAGCAAAGCGAGGAGAAAAACGTTACTGACAAAAACTAGTGCCTTAAGAAAAAGGTAAGTTATATGGAGACAGACTTCGTTTGAATCGTCAGAGGCGTCGTTTATATAACTGAAAGGCGTCGCCGTCAAGTTTTTCTTAGTGTCTTTTCTGGGTTGTCTTCAACAGTGTTCAGTTTTATTTATCAAGACAACTTACTCAAGAGAACCATGGCATTGTGGAGTCCAAAGAGAAGAGAGAATTGTGCATGCATTAGCTTGATTCCGCAACCGATTACATCAAAATAATGCGCCATGTTTAATAAGCCTCTTCAACAAAAATACGGACGTCCACGTAAACTCAATTACCGGTACACCAGTATTCCATCAGTATTCAGCTTGGCGAAAAAGTTGAACTTATTGCTAAAACACCGGAACTGTGGTCACGTCACCGGTCGGTCATGTTTGGCGTATTCAGTTTGGGGACAATCACGTGGTGTGGTCTGAGGCTAACTACTACTATTCTTGACAATTAGCCACAAAAGTAATATTTCACTGTATTATTCAACCCATGAACTTGTGAATAAAAATTACTCGTAAAATTACTTTGATCGGCCTTGCAGTGCAGTAACCCACACTACGGCAAACCTTATCAAGACACAATAACAAGAATATACCGTAAATTTCTGAAAATAAGCCCCGGGGCTTATATTTTTCAAAGGCCCTTTTTGGGGGGCTTATTTTTGGAGGGGCTTATACATGGAGGGGCTTATTTTCGGAATTTTACGGTATTTAAGGGAACTGCCAAGAAAACTAAGACAAATTCTCTTTGGATTGTACTAAATTGTGTAATGTGAAATTCTTTAATTTTCTATCATTGATATTTGATTCCGTATTCCGTTTCCGTTTCCGTTTCCGTGATTCCGTTTCCGTTTCCGGATTCCGGATTCCGTGTTTTAGTGCTGCCCCATTTGCACTAAGAGGTCATGTGACATCGTTTGTATGAAAATGAAAGTTATATGATTTTGCCTTCGAAAAACGATTAGTGGGTCACATCTTAAACAAAATAATAGTGATTTGGTTTTTCAAACCCGCACCATTTTCTTAAAATGAGTAAGTTCGTAGCTGGTCACGTGACCAAAATGTGACTTTTAAAATTAGGAATTACATCTTTCAGAACACAAACTTTGCACTTAAAGTTCAAGGGAAATGTTGAAAAGATGATGTGGTAACGTTTACAGCACATCTGAGCGTAACTATCAAACGTTTAACAAGATAGAAGCAAAAAGTAGTTTTGGCCGCCATGTTGGAGGGCAAGAGTATGCCCTCCAACATGGCGGCCAATACAAATCATACTGCTTTGTTGAAAAATCAAAGTGCCATAACACATCTCCCTTAAATGCATTTCCCCTCAAATTTCGGGTGTAAGATAATTTTTATGTGCTCTGTCAATTTTTGGCATCAGCAAGTTTCCAACTCATCGTTTAAAGGAAGCATAGGTCACGTGACCTCTGAGTGCAACTGGCCTATTAAACGTTGAAAATAATATTTGCATATTCGGCAACTATCAATAGCTGGATTCGAGGTTTCTGTCACGACTTATTTCCTTTTTTTTTTTCCATGACTATATTTTGCTGTCTGCTGCAAAAATCTCCTCGTGCACCTTTCTATCATTTTTGTTGACATTTTGCTTTGTCCCTGTTGGATAAGATTTTGACAGCTCTTAAGGGGTGAAATTAAACAAAAAAAAGACTGGTTTATCGTTCATCTGGGTATAGTCGTTACTTAGGTATTCATTGACGACGTTTTAAACTGCGTACTTCTAGTCTTCATATGTTAATAGGCGATTGTGTCGAGTGTGGGTGGGCTATAACAGAACTAAAGGAAGAAAGATTTGAACAGACGACTGAAGGAATCATTCAGCAAAAATCATATTATTTTAAATAAAACAATATCAATGTATTCTTTTTACTATTTTGCAGACATCAACGAGTGTGAGACAGGAAAGCATCACTGCGACTCCAATGCTTTCTGTAACAACACTAAAGGCTCCTACATTTGTACATGCAAACCAGGATATACCGGAAACGGGGTTAACTGCTCAGGTAAAATAAAGAAGCGAAAACCCTCAGCTGATAGCTCTGAATGACCTGATATAAAAGCATTTCTATTCAACAACTGTTTTCGAGTGCCATTAACTAAGGTGTATGTTACATCTTTAAGGGTTCTTTAAAATAGTTCCAACATGATAGTATGTGATAGGTGGCTTGTTCATCGTTGGCATACTAACAAGGCGACGATGCAGCCGTCAGCGCTAGCTGGCGAACCCGGCGATAAGAAAAAGGCGATTAAACGTTGAAAAAAATATTTGCATATTCGGCAACTATCAATAGCTGGATTCGAGGTTTTTGTCACGACTTATTTCCTTTTTTTTCCATGACTATATTTTGCTATCTGCTGCAAAAATCTCCTCGTGCGACTTTCTATCATTTTTGTCGACATTTTGCTTTGTCCCTGTTGGATACGATTTTGACACCTCCTAAGGGGTGAAATTAAACAAAAAAGAGACTGGTTTATCGTTCATCTGGGGATAGTCGTTACTTAGGTATTCATTGACGACGTTTTAAACTGCGTACTTCTAGTCTTCATATGTTAATAGGCGATTGTGTCGAGTGTGGGTGGGCTATAAGAAAACTAAAGGAAAAAAGATTTGAACAGAGGACTGAAGGAATCATTCAGCAAAAATCATATTATTTTAAATAAAACAATATCAATGTATTCTTTTTACTATTTTGCAGACACCAACGAGTGTGACACAGGAAAGCATCACTGCGACTCCAATGGTTTCTGTAACAACACTAAAGGCTCCTACATTTGTACATGCAAACCAGGATATACCGGAAACGGGGTTAACTGCACAGGTAAAATAATTAAAAGAAGCGAAAACCCTCAGCTGATAGCTCTGAATGACTTCATATAAAAGCATTTCTATTCAACAAATGTTTTCGAGTTCCACTAACTAAGGTGTATGTTACATCTTTAAGGGTTCTTTAAAATAGTTCCGACATGATAGTATATGTGATAGGCAGCTTGTTTATCGTTGACATACGCGGCGATGTAGCCGTCAGCGCGAGCTGGCGAATTTGGCGATCAGAGAAAGACGATTAAACGTTGAAAAAAATATTTGCATATTCGGCAACCATCAATAGCTGGATTCGAGGTTTTTGTCACGACTTATTTCCTTTTTTTTTTTCCATGACTATATTTTGCTATCTGCCGCAAAAATCTCCTCGTGCAACTTTCTATCATTTTTGTTGACATTTTGCTTTGTCCCTGTTCGATAAGATTTTGACACCTCTTAAGGGGTGAGATTAAACAAAAAAAAGACTGGTTTATCGTTCATTCGATCTGAGGATAGTCGTTACTTAGGTATTCATTAACGACGTTTTAAACTGCGTACTTCTAGTCTTCATATGTTAATAGGCGATTGTGTCGCGTGTTTGTGCCTCGCATACGAACAGGCTCACTTAAGCGAGTTTGCGGGTTATATATTAAGGCGGCGATGCAGCCGTCAGCGCTAGCTGGCGAATCCGGCGATAAGAAAAAGGCGATTGAACGTTGAAAAAAATATTTGCATATTCGGCAACTATCAATAGCTGGATTCGAGGTTTTTGTCACGACTTATTTCCTTTTTTTTTTTCCATGACTATATTTTACTATCTGCCGCAAAAATCTCCTCGTGCACCTTTCTATCATTTTTGTTGACATTTTGCTTTGTCCCTGTTCGATAAGATTTTGACACCTCTTAAGGGGTGAGATTAAACAAAAAAAAGACTGGTTTATCGTTCATCTGCCGGGATAGTAGTTACTTAGGTATTCATTGACGACGTTTTAAACTGCGTACTTCTAGACTTCATATGTTAATAGGCGATTGTGTCGAGTGTGGGTGGGCTATAAGAAAACTAAAGGAAAAAGGATTTGAACAGACGACTGAAGGAATCATTCAGCAAAAATTACATTCTTTTAAATAAATCAATATCAATGCATTCTTTTAACTATTTTGCAGACATCAACGAGTGTGAGACAGGAAAGCTTCACTGCGACTCCAATGGTTTCTGTAACAACACTAAAGGCTCCTACATTTGTACATGCAAACCAGGATATAGCGGAAACGGCGTTAACTGCACAGGTAAAATAAAGAAGCGTGAATGACCTGATATAAAAGCATTTCTATTCAACAAATGTTTTCGAGTTCCATTAACTAAGGTGTATGTTACATCTTTAAGGGTTCTCTAAGGTGACTCGACCCAGTTTTTTTGAGAGGGGTACCGTCCTACTTTGAAGCTCTCTGGTATTCCCACCTTTACCTTTATCGTTAGTCTAACACACGAAATGGATAACATAAAGATCAATGTACAATATAACATAAAATTTTTGGCGATCGGAGTAAATGTCACGTGGTTGTAATGCCACGCCCCTTTGAGGTCTGAGTCGAAAATCTGCTGTTGCCGGCATTTTTTGTGAAAATCTCTCGGCCACACATAGTGCGCACTAGTGCCTTGCGCTCAACAGGGTTTCACGCTTGGCTGACTTCCGAATGCTCACCGAGATATGATAATTTAGTGTAAGAAAATAGAAGGGATTTCCGTCACGAGTTTGTTTAATTATTGGCTTGCATTAAACCCATGAAAAAAAATGATATTTTTTTAATAGTAAGTAGATTTAGTGTGTAGCACTTCTTGATTTTTTTGCAAAGGCACAAGAAGCACGAGAATTGATTAAAAATTGTGAGTGAAACCTCTATGTATCACGCGATGGCCTGTCTCACTGTACCAAAATTATCATATCTTCGGGGGGTGCGGGCAAGGGGTGGGGATTTGACAAATTTTAAAATTTTTTGATCAAATTCCCTAGGGTGGGAAGCGAAGGGTCAATCAAAAGTGTCAAAAACTCTCCCATCCCAGGGGAAAAATCTACACAAACAATACTATAATACTGTATAAAACGAATTAAAAGGACATTTCAAAAGTACGTCCTTACTAAACGTAAGCTCCGTTAAATTACTAGCTGTAATTAAGTATTTTCTCTCTCTACTAGCATCTCTTATTTTGAACAACGAAATCACTCTAGGAAGATTGACCGTGCTATTATAATATTAAAGAAACGTAAAATGTTTTATAACATCTGCTCAACATGTCGGAACAGGTCGGATCAGTGACCCGTAAAAAATCCTCTGACTTTCATGGTGGAATTCGATTTCAATCGAGTTTTACAATCAGACGGGAACTTGAAGATAAAAACTTTCTCAAAATAGACATTATCTGTTTAGATGACAGTTTAAAGTATTGGATTATGGCAGTGTGGGAAACGCTTGCCTCCATGAATCGATTCCCCACAAATGTCACAAAGGAAAAGGAATAATTCAAGGCAAATTATACTCACAGGTCCACTGATAGGTTTAATGGCTTGGAATCACTCTCAAGGTTCAAACTCAACAGGTCACAGCTCTCGCGATCTCACGACTGGTTTACAGGGTGAACAACGACAACAACTCAACGACTCAACTTAAAATCACGAGCGCTTATCGTTTATACTGAACATTGCATGCAAATGGCCTACGGGTAAATTTCCGGTCCTTGACACATATCATTCACGGCTATTTAACAAAATCACTTATCGAACTAATTTGATCCATCACTTGGGTTTTCTGTCATCAACTCAAGTCTGCACAATCACGCAATCACAAATACTAGCCTCAGTCTGCGACACACTCCCCCCACATATTTCTTTCTACGGAATATATGTTCTCTTTCGAGACTGATCCCTAGTTAATCATTTCCGAGTTTAATTAAACAAAACTAAAGTTAAAGCGTTCTCAGTTCATTGTTCCTTTAAATGTCAGTGGATTCTTCTGCACGTGCAATCCCCTGGATAAGCTCATTGGCAGTTGCTGCTGCAGCTCGTGTTGGCCTGAAAGCTGGGGCTACCGGGTTTAGGCTTGAGCTTGCCATGGGCTTGCGGTCGACCGATAACTCGAGTGGGTAGAGGTGCTGCACGGCCCGTTCCATTACTCCCTTTCCTGCTCGCATCTTGGCAGCACGTATAATTCCGTCACGTCCTACAATCAGCTCATCCACGATTCCAAGTTTCCATGAGTGTCGATTTCGAGACTCGTCCTGTATAATCACTACGTCTCCGACTGAGGGGTGTGGGGTCTGCTCTCCCCCACTTCTTCTGGGCCGCTCTCTTAAACTCCGCACGTACTCTTTCGACCACCTAGACCACATCGCTTCTTTACACCGAAGGAGGTACTTGGTTCTCTTCCTAAGATCTGTCTCCTGAAGGTGGTGTGGACTGAGCCCGGGGAGCTGGGTTGGTTGAAGGTGCAGCATAGAGCTTGGTGTAAGCACTGGCATCTCAACATCATCCTCAAGGTAACTCAGTGGGCGACCATTTATGGCAATTTCTACATCGAGTACGATGTCAGACAATTCGCTCCAGGTTATGGTTCCCACTGCTTTACGAAAGGCAGACTTGAAAACGCCTGTGAGCCTTTCGAATTGGCCACCCCACCATGGGGCTCGGCTGAGGTTAAATCTCCAGGCAATGTCATGCTTGGTAAGGTAGTGGTGGAATTTCTCTTCCTTTCGGACTTTGCTAATCCAATAAGCAGCGGCCTTAAACGTTCTTCCATTGTTGGAGTAGATCACCTGCGGGCGACTACGCCTGGCTATGAACCCTTTAAAACTTGTGAGAAACTTGTCCGTCTCTAGGCTTGGGAGGGGATCGAGATACACTCCTCGTGTAAGGCTACACGCGTAAAGAACCAGGTAAGCTTTTCCCTCTCTTTTCGGCGTCAATCGATATTTAATGGGACCAGCGAAGTCAATTCCAATCGTCTGGTAGGGCGTCACTCCTTGGGTGCGCGTGAGTGGCAAATCACCTGGCGGTGGTGTCTGGTAAGCCTGAGCTTGGAATCTTTTGCAGCCCCAAAAGCTTTTGATGACTTTCTTTGTCAATCTTCTCAGGCGAGGTACCCAGTGGGTTTCTCTGACCTTTTTCATGGTAAGTGTGACTCCCCTGTGAATGGTCGAAAGGTGGCCTTTTTGAACAAACTTGTAGGTAAACAAGTTGTCGTCAGGAAGGTAGGTGGGATAGGCACCAACAATTCTTCCTCTGCACTCTAGTATGCCGTTGTTCCGTGGCTGCAAATTAAGTTGAAGCTTGTCTGCTTGGAAATTATTGGCGCACGTGGCTTCGGCTTGGGAACATTTAGTCCACCAGACTTCCTGGCACTTTATTTCCTCTGTGCTCAGCGGTCCTTCCAATCTTGTTGACTTCGAGTTTTTGCAGTTGGCGAGAAATCTACTGGTCCATGCGCAGATGCGCAAAGTTTTCAACAGGCTAAAGTTTTCCAAAATCTCATTGAACACATCGTTCTTTGGTAGGGCAATAGTCAGGATTTCCTTTGTTACTTTGGCTTCTACTCGAGATTCGGAGGAAGGGTTAACTTCAATGTTTTTAGGCAACTGATCTGGATTAGATAACCACGGGGCTCCATGTATCCATAGCGATGTACTGGTCACGGCTCCACCCCTACTTCCCAGGTCTGCTGGGTTCTGATCTGTTGGCACGTGGCGCCAGACGATTTCTCGATGCCGTTGGATCTTTTGCACTCGGTTTGCAACGAACTGGCGGTATTCTCCACTGCCTTGAATCCAGCAAAGGGTAACTGTTGTGTCTAACCAACAGTGAATAACAGGATCACAACTTTGCAGTGCATTACGAACGTTTACAGCCAGGTTAACCGCCATATGGCCTGCAACTAACTCCAGTCTGGGAATAGTTAGGTTCTTTGACAGCCGTGACTTAGAAGTGATGAGACCCTGAGAGGTTCCTGACTCTTGGCTGACAACCGCGTAGACCGCCGCGCAGACCCCTTTTGAACTTGCATCTCCGAAGGCGTGGAGTTGGATAGAATCAATTGCTTCTCTGAATGGTGCAATTGTGCGCTTCACACTCACGCGTTCCGGAAGATCGATACACCACTTCCTCCAGCTCTTCTCTAACTCTACTGAGAGAGGCGCGTCCCAAGGTTGCTTTGTTTCACACATGTCTCTGAATACAAACTTGCCGCGAAGCGTCATGGGTGATACTAGCCCCAGTGGGTCATATATTTTGGCTAAATAAGGAGAGGGCGCCCCTCTTGGTTGTTTCTTCTTTTTCTTGCGGAAAACAAACGCTCAACGTGTCTGCATTTGGGTCCCAAGGTAATCCCAGTAGCTTCGTTTCGGTGGTCTTGGTTCCTAGTTGTTGCTTTGCGAAGCTCTGTTCTTCATTGTGGTGTAGTTCAGCAGGCTGTTCTAACTCAGCGGCGTTTGACTTCCATTTGTGCTGGGTGAATTGAGCGTCGCTGAAGATCTTGGTCGCCTTTTCTTTCTGCTTCTGAGTTTGTTGTACTGTCGGTGCTCCAGTGATTACATCATCGACGTAGAGGCTGTTCCTGATTTGAGCGACTAACTCTGACTCTCGCTCTTCCCACACTTTCAAATGCTGCTCGATAACCCCTCCTAACAGGAAAGGTGATGACGTAAGCCCGAACAGGGCCCTGATGAATCGTAAAGTCTCTATTTCAGAGTGTCCTTTAATTTTGCAGTGAAATCTTCGGGCGTCACGCTCTTCTTCTTTTATGCGTACTTGTAAGAAAGCTTTCTGCAGGTCTCCGGTTAGCAATACAGGGTAGAAGCGAGCTCTGATTAAGACGTTCCATAGCAGGTTCTGTAAGGGTGGTCCGGGATGAAGACAGTCGTTCAAAGATGGCTGGCTGGGGTTTTCTCTGGCTGAGGCGTCGTAAACGATTCTTAACTTGGTCGTTTCTGCGTTTTCTCGAATTACGGCTCTGTGAGGTATGTAAAATTCTGTCCCTTTTGGTTCGGCGGTGGCTAACTCGACAACCCCTTCTTCTCGCTGTTCCTTGATAATGGCGTCATACTGGTCATAGGTGTTGGTGCGTTCTAGTTTCTTTAGAAACTGCTGAAGTCTTTTAAGACTACCAGACTTGTTTGTAGGCAATGGCGGATGACCTC